TACTAAGTCACTTCATTATATTAGTAATTATCTTTGTACCAGTTAAGTTCATTCATGGGATAAATATTGTTTACTATCAAAAATGACTGGGTTAGAAGGAGAGAAACATTCCTCTCATTTAACAAATTGGATCCTGGCATTCTTCTTGAACATAAAATTTTTGAGTAATTAAATATCATATATATTTTATACTGCATCAACAGTAGCATATATTTTATTTGAATTTACTGGGTAAAATAATTGCTTGGATTAACGGTGCTTAATTTTTGCTGATGAGAAATGGATAGTAATTAAACATCATTTGCATGAAATGTGAAATTATCTTTAATGATACTGTTTTCTTCACAGAGTTCACATCAGTCTCCTGTGATTGCACAATTAACATTTGGTTCTTCTGTAAAAATATTGTATTTGTGCATTGCTGCATATTTTCACTTGTCCCCATTATGTGCATTAGATTAATTCACTTTTCAGTTTTTTAGGTTACTGCCATTTAAGCACATACTCATATATATTTATGAGTAGACATTAGTCAAAAAAATCATTAAAACGAAGACAATAATCTGTCCCATAGAAATTTTAAGAAAAAATAATGTGTACATATATGTCATAGTTTTTGCAGCCTAACACATAGCTACAGGTAATAATGTGTAGCCATCAGCCTACATTCAGCCTCTCTCTACTTTGTCAATAAAGTTTTATTTGAACACAAGGCACCTGTTCATTCACCTCTTGCCTTATGACTGCATTTTTCCTAAGGTAGCAGAGTTGATAAATTGTTATTAAATGCATGAAGCCTACTAGTGTGAAAATATTTACTTCTGGCCTTTACAGAAAAAGCCGTGCCAATCACTGGGTTTAGTTAGAGAGAACAGTGTTGACTGATATAAAACAGGAATATATCTCTCAAAATGGAACATAATAGCATAAGCCCAGGATTCAGCTCAGTGGTAGAGCATTTGCTTAGTATGCATGAGGTTCAAGGCCCCGCATCAAAAATAAGTAAGTAAAGTAAATGCCAAGAAAATAGTATGGTATAGAATAAATTATATAATGGTTTATAATGTCAATAATTAAAACTACTGCTTATTCATTGAATAAATCAACAACTTTGGCCTCATTAGAAAATGTCTCAGGGAGAAAAATGATTTGAGCTGGATTGTGAAGAATGTAATATAATGTATATCAATATAAATATAATGTCAGTGGAATTCTAAAAGAAAAGCATATCAGGTGTAGGTGGAAAAGGTGAAGCTATGGATACTCAGATATTAAGGAACAGTCCATTTTGTAGTGTGCATGACATATATCTAGAAAGAAATTGGCAGATAAAGCTGGAAAATAGGCTAGTATCTTAGACAGAATGCTGTATTTGAAGACATACCATAGACTACCAGTTATAAAGCTATAGCCAGTATTCAAATGTGAGAAAATAAACTTTATGTTGGAGGAGACAAATGGTAAAAAGTGAAAAGGACACACTTAGTAAGGAAAGTCAGATAATAATTGACAAACGATAATTATGGTAGTAAAAGAAAAGTGAAAAAATGCTTCAATTGTTAAATTTTGTTTATTTGGAAGAAAGACTGATTTCTTTAATGAAAAATGAAATAATGGAAGAGATCAAAAGCTGGAGTGTAAGTAGAAGTAGGAGGTAGAGCAGTCTGACTACTACCAAGGAGTATAGTAGACAAGGTAAGAGACACGGCCGAGCCTTTATAAAGTGGACGGTAGGAAACCACCTAAAAGGGTTAGGCACATCAGATTCATGTTTAAGCCTGCACTGTAGAAAGACGATTGAATGTAGCAAGTATAAATCACAGGACTAGTTAGAAGTTTACTGCAACAATCCATACAGATGATGGGGAGAATCTAAACTGAGCCAGTGACTATGGATTCAGAAAATATATGGTTAAAATATAACATCTTAAGCCCTTAGATGTGAGAACTTTGTCTTGTCTACTCTTATGCTTCATTTTTTTTCATAGTGCTTGGAAGACGTAAGCACTCTGTGAATATTTGTACAATACAAAAATAAAAGATGGAGTGTGTTAGAAATATCTTTAGGGTTCTTTGGTCACTGGGAATTCAGACAATGCGAATCATCAGTGAACCCAGGCTTCACAACTGTATTTAACACATCAAGATTACTGATTATGGTCCATTCATTTAACAGCTTTTCCCATCTCTTTGGTATAAACAAACCATAGTCTTGTAGGAGTTTGCAATCTCCTACAAAATCCAATAGTGGATTTTTCAGTAGTGTTTCTCATGGAATAATCAATTGCTTTCTATCAAGGTTTGGTAAACTTTTTCTGTACATAACTCAATAATAAATATTTTAAGCCTTCTGCTTTCTGATGAAACTGTCCAACTTTGCTATTGTAGTATGGAAGTAATCATAGAATATCAGCAGACTCATGTACATAAATATTCTGGTCAAACATTTACAAAACAGTCAGTTAACCTACTTTGGTTCAGGGATCTCCATCTGTAACTCCCTACCTTAGGTTAAAATTTGAGTATTATGAACCAAATTCTTTAATTTAATATTGAAAATAAATAACTGTTAAATGCATAATTAGAAAAATATTTTAGAAGCTTTCACAATATTATTTTACAGTAAGAAGAGACAAAAGCAGAAGGTTAAGGTTCTTTGTGGATTTTCCAAGCTGTGAAGCACAAAGTATTGTGAATTATACATTATAGTGTTATCACTAATACAGATTCTAGACTACAAAGTCAATATACTTTTTCTGTGTATATAGAGATTAATATCCTTTATTGAAAAGAAGTATTTCATCATAGTTATAGGATAAGAAAAGCGAGTGTGATTCTGAGCTAAAAATAATGACGTACAAAGTGAAGTCCAAGAATCCCCCATTGGATTGTCATGAGATTTCTTTTAATTTCCCTAAAAGAAATAATTTTCTACCTCAAAGTTTTCAAGTAAACTTCTTCTCCTCTCCTTTGTTCCTTTTTTAATTTATTTTTTTCTTATTCTCTCTCTTTTTTTATGTAAGAGTGGGGAATTTTGAGTTTTCTCTTTCCACCCAGCACACTGGATGAAATTGATCTAGTATTTATTTAACAGTTCCCTAACATTGAGAATTTTCATACCTACTCTCTTTCTTCTTAACACCGTGATTCCTTAGGGACTCCGGTTGTTACAGATGTAGTCAGTTAGCTAAGAAGAGCAGGATATAGAGTGTGTGATAGAAGAACTTGCACTTAGAAATCTCCAGGACAGTGATTTCTTCTCTCTAACATGTTTTGCTCCTAATGTACTTTTTTAAGAGAATGGGTTGTGGGGCTAGGAATTTAGCTCAGCAGCACAATGCCCGCCTGGCAAGCGTGAGGTCCTGAGTTCGATTCCCAGTACTGGAAACAACCCCCCTCAAAAAAAAAAGACTAAAAAAAGACAGAGAGAGAGAGAGAGAGAGAGAGAGAGAGAGAATGGGTTGTTTCTGAGGCTTTCATTTCCTTGTATTTATTTTTAATAAACACAAAAGTATGCAGTACTTTTATCTTCTTGATGTGGGGTGTGCTGAAGGTTGCCAAATCTACCATGAATGTTATGTAATTATATTTACTTGAATTTTAAAATTGTGTTTCAAAACCTCGCAGGGCTAATATTAACTGCTGTAGGAGATGAAAAATGTTTGTTCTCTAGTCACCCTAGATTGATGGCTGAGGCCACTGTAGCAATAGACATTTTAACAAGGAAACCTACACATTTACCTACTACAATTTATTTTTTAACAAGAAGACTTGATGAGAAAAGGAAACTCAAAATCCCTGTGTATTTTTGTAGTAGATTTGATGAAGAGTGGACAGTTCTATTGAAATAGAATAGGCCAAAAGAGGTCAGATGTAATAATAAACTAGGGAAAGTTTAACAAGGTCCATTTGTCCAGGTTCTTTATGGATTTTCCGCTTTGGAGATAAGGGTTCCCCTTTCCTCTGGGTGTTAGGAGGGAACCTCTGACATGAGAAACTGCTTTAGGGAAAGGTCAGAAAATCACTGCTAGATTTTTTGACTTGCTTCAGAAAAGAAAACTGGAGAGAAGGTCAGAGGCCCCTCTATATATGCCATTTTTCAATATATCTAGGTCACATAGTTTGGGATAGCATGTTCTGAACCATGTACAACTGAGAGCAATAGGTCTACCTGTTAGAAAGATACCATTCATTACCTGAAAGCTAAAATATCACTGGTGGGTCAGAATACATAACTCTTTCCTGCTTCAACTTAGTAGCCTAGTTCTGATGATCTTATTCTACTAGGTAGATTCTATAATAAATAAAAGCAATGATAGCAGTGTTGAGCAGTTGAAATTAAAATACCCAAAAGACAGAATGAAAACATGCAAAATTTAATATATCTTCAAAATTTAAATATATCACATGTTATTTACATAAAGTGATATTTAAATATGTATATACAGAGGAAATTTTAGCTACAGAATTAGTTGATACAGAAAAAAATAACAAGTAGTGATTTAATAAAGAAAGAAGGCAGATATTTCTTCAATATGACTCTGATTTGAAGAAGAGCAAACGGCCTGAAGAAAGATTTTATTTGTAACAGCAGTTTACTAGGGAAAATTGTAAGCGTGGTGTGCTCAGGCAGGAGAAGAGTCTACAGCATAGGTTAGGAAAGTACTGCGGTCCACTGGCACTAGATACTACATTCAGTAATTATTCCTGTTTGTGTCTCACACTAAATCCTTAGGAAGTCTGGCTCTACTAAAAATAGGCTGCATTCTATTCATCTTAGCAGAAAAGCAGGGAGTTAGCTTAGCTGCTGTTTTTGAACAAAAAGTGTTTTTAATAATGTAATGGCTGTGTATGGTTGTTTATTACTGGCATATTACTCACCCTAATAATGTAAGAAATGTTGGAAACTACTTGAATCATTAGCAGCATAACCGCTGTTAGCCGGTTTCCTTAATTCACCCGTCCTTCATCACTCTCCATATCTCACTGTGTGATTGCAGCTCCCAATCCTTGCGCAGCCAATGACGGGAGAGGCCCCTGCTCTCACCTGTGCCTGATTAACCACAACAGGACTGCCGCCTGTGCTTGTCCGCACCTGATGAAGCTTGCCTCAGACAAGAAGACCTGCTACGGTACATCTCTTACTGATCCTAAAATTCTCTCAAATCCTGTTAGCTTTTACTCAAAGTAAAGGAGAAGCGGACTTTAACATCTTTAAATACATTTTAGGCACAACTGTTTCAAGCCATTATTGGCAATTCATTTACTTCTGGAGAGATTGACATATTTTTTAAACAAGTGATACTTTGCACTTTCCTATTCAGTAGCGTACTCCTGCTTTCTTGGTACTGTCTGATTTGGTGGGTTAGTAGAATTTATCTCTGCAAAACAGGAAGATTTGTAAGTGAAAGTGCATTATCAGAAAATGATGATTTAAGTACCTGCATAACAAAGAGGTACTTAAACCTCTAATTTCCTGCTCTTACTTTAACATCATTTTGTAGGGAATTATCAGCATAGAGGGGGAAACTGTAGTTAAGTACTTAACTGAGAGATTTGTAGAAAATGTTTCTACTAAACAATGATAAGTGTGTATGAAAGCCAGACAGTGCTTTTAAATTAATAATTTTTGTTTATTTGTAAATCACTTAATTTAAGGGAAGAAATGAAATGTATTCACCAGAAACTATTTTGAGACTTTAGATATACTTACATGATTTTAATTTTATACAATAATAATATATTTTTAAAAAAATAACCCAGAGAGAACAATAAAATGGTCAAATGTTTATAACTCCTATTTTATTTGACCTACTGATTCTTCATAAACCCAGTGCAAGAAAAAATACCTTGGAGCCCTGGTTTTGATGGGAGAAGCAAGGAAAAAAATAATTTAAAGCCATGATTTTTTCTATTTCTCAAGAATATTATTAGAAAAATACTATGCCATTGATTCAAAAATAATTTAATGTGAGGCTTTCTTGTTAAAATTGCAGTATGCAGCGCCTGCCTGGCAAGCGCAAGGTCGTGAGTTTGATTCCCGGTACCCCTCCCCAACTCCCAAAAAGTTGCAGTATGTACAAAAACAAATACAGTTCTTGAACATTTGTAGCACTTATTTTTCTAGCAATATTTGTAGCATTTATGTTTTTTACATGTTTGAAATTCTAAGGTCAAATAAACTACTAATAATTTCCTGGTATTTCTAGCTAACAAAAAATAAGAGCCTTAACTTACAATACAAACCCTGTATCTTTTTTAATGTCCTTGCTTTGTTTTGTTTGTATTTTGCTATTATTTTTTGTACTATTTTCCTTAAAATAAAAACATAGATAAGTCATTCTGCATTATTTTTCATCAAATATTGATTATTATTTTAAAGTATTGAAATGTTTTAAATTATTAAGTTGTAACATTTTAGAATTGCTAGTTTGCTTTAAACTTGATGACAACGTAAGAGAAAAACCTCTCATTTCTATTTTTTTCTAGAAATGAAAAAATTTCTTCTTTATGCAAGGCGCTCTGAAATCAGAGGTGTGGATATTGACAATCCATATTTTAACTTTATCACTGCCTTCACGGTCCCTGATATTGATGATGTTACCGTGATAGACTTTGATGCCTCTGAGGAACGTTTATACTGGACAGATATTAAAACACAAACAATTAAAAGGGCTTTTATTAATGGAACTGGGTTAGAAACCGTTATTTCAAGAGGTAAATATTTGTATGTTACAACTTTTTAAAATGTTTAATTTGTAATAATTATGTGTCTTTTGTATTCTCTGTATTATTCAACTGTATGTTACTAATAGAAAGTTGGAATCGATTATTCTAAAGAGTTATTTACATGCTCTATCCTTTAAATTGTAAAATGCTATAGTTAAACTGCACATATGAGACTGAAAACTATGTTTCTTTTCTGGAGAACAAAAATTTCATGAAAATTTCTTTAAAATTTAGAAATGGCAGATAACCATTTTGAAAAACCTTTCTTATTGCTGAGGAAGATATATTTACTTACATAGGTAGAATATAGAATATTGAAGAGGACTAGTTTGCTTCTTTGAAGTAATCTATTGTGAACTTCCCTTTCTATGTGTTTGTATAAAACCAGACTAGTTACAGGACAGGGAAACTTCTACAAGTTCTCTTTATAGGACAGGGAAACTTCCAAAACATCTTACTGACTTAGTGGGTAAAATAGAAATTAGAGCAGAAATAAAAACTATGTATAAATGTATGGACTCCACTTTACATATTTATCATACACCTATTCTAATATTTGCTTAGTTTTTGTCACTTGTGGAGTCAGTCATAAATTCATTAAATGAGTCTTCATTACCATGAGCACAAAACCAAATAATTTTCTCTTTAAATTTATGCCCTCCAAACTTCAGAGAGATGTTTGGAGAAGAATAGAAGCAAAGGCAATCAGTAACCCATGTTGATTTTTAAACATTTATGCTTTGAAGTCTGCTGAAAATGTAAAATCAAGCAATATTTGAAGAATGACTGACTTCTTAATGAAGACAATATATTTCTTATTGCTTTCATTAAGACATTTTAGGTTAATATTACTAATGGAGCTTATTGACTATACTGGTTATAAGCTTATTTGAATATTTATTTCAAAACTAAGCAAATATTTCCTTCTAGAAAAACTAATGAAATATTTCCTGTGCACAGGGCTTTTAACATGGTTTGGCAGAAAATGTAACCGTGATGGATTAAAGGTCCTTAAACTCCTTAAGAGACTAGTAAAAGGAAAGTCAGATAGTGCTTTAAAAAATCATCAAAGGAGAACATGTTCAAGTAGTGGATTGCAAATGTAAAATACTTCCTAAATGGCCCTGTGAATGGTATAGACTCTAGAGCTAAAGGTGCTACATGTGAAAAAAATATTTTGGAACAATATTCTCAGTTTAACTATGGACTACTATCCAGTACTAATTTGGTTAATTTATCTTTGAGAAAATCACAGACTTACTTTCATTTAGTAGATTCTACATACAAGTATTAACCAAAATTTGAGCAATAATATTTGCTCACTAACAAATAATACATAGGCTACCTAGAATCAATAATTACTAATTCTGTGATTTCATTAAATGTTGGGATTTTTCTGAGACAAGAAATTGAAGAAGAACCGGTGCATAAAGATGTTGTGGAGCACACGATTAGAGAAAGTACCTATGCAAGCTAAAGAAACTGAAGAAATGGAAAGAAAATTTAGCTAGCTTTCTTAAGACAACTTGGTTATTTTTACATTAAGACTCAGAATAAAGAGGCCAGGGGTGTAGTTCAGTGGCAGGGCACCTGCCTGGCAAGCACGAGGTTCTGAGTTTGATTCCTGGTTGAAAAAAAAAGGTTCAAAATGATACAAATCTAGGAAGTGGGTAAGGAAAGATGAGACAAGATAAGCTTTACCTTTGAAAAACATTATGATAATTGTTATATGAGGTAGATATTTCTGTCTTGGAGAGAAGGATGATCAATAGCCACTGGAAGATGAGTTAATTGGCAGTACAGTAGCTCTGGCAAAAGATGGTGGAAGCCTGAATACAGTGAGAAAAACCAGAGATGAAGGAATGTGGACAGACTTTAGAGCAATCAAAGACTACAAATACAAGGGACTTACACAAGTAGGCTTGAGGGTAGAGGAACAGGTGTGGTTGAGGATGACTCCTCTATTTCTGGCTTACTTCACATAGTGCTGTCATTCTCTTTCTTCTGGAGAGCACATAATTTCTTTTTTTTTTTTCAAATTTCTTCTTTAATAGTACCAATTTGCAGTACAATCAGTTCTGATAGGGAGCTGGTATGCGTACATGGCACGTCTTTATTTTTATTTTCCTGTTCCGTTCCCAGTGTCCCCGCTCCTCTTCATCTCTCAGTCCTCTTCCAGTTTGCAAGAGATCTATCTCCCCATTTCCTATCATCTGTCTTTTTTTTTGCTCTTTAGTTTATTTAGACTTTTGAGTTTGTCTAATAAGAGAAGACACGCAATACTTAAGCACGTGTGTTTGATTTATTTCACATAATATTATGATTTCAAAGTGCATTCATTCCTCACAAATGACTCAAATTTACCATTCCTTGTAGCAGACTAATTCTTCATGATGTGTAAATACCACATTTTAAAAATTTATTCATCAGCTGATGAGCATATAGGTCATTTCCAAGAGTTATGTATCATGACTGAGCTGTGCTGCTATAAACCTAGGTGCGTATGGATCACTGTAATATGATGCCTTTAATTCTTTAGGAAGATACCCAGAAGGGGAACAGCTGGTTCAAATGGAATTTCTAATTTTAGTTTTTTTGAGTGATTTTTACAGTGATTTTACTCGTTTATATCCTCACCAATAATATGGAAGCATTCCTTTATCCCTGCAGCCTCTCTGGGCTTTGTTATTAACTGATTTTTTGATGGCAGCCATTCTTTATGGAATCTTGGTGTTGTTGGAAGAGGCATTTCTATAATGACCAGAGATGTTGAGCATTTTTTTTTTCATGTATTAATTGGCCAGTTGTACTTCTGAGATATGTCTATTTATCTCAATTGGCCATTTTTTTTTTTTAGTCTTTTATTGGGGGAGGTCTAATTTTTTGAGTTCTTCATATATTCTACATCTTAGTTCTCTATTTGAAGTATAGCTGGGAATAAAACCTTTTTGTTTCTTTCTGTAGGTTGTGTCTTCCCTCTGTTGGCTGTTTCTTTTGCTGTGCAGAGCATTTGAACTTTATATGATCACATTGTTGACTCTTGATGTTATGTGTACTGTGGATCTGTCCTGTAGCCCTTGCCTTCAAGAGCTTTACCTATTTTATCCTTCATGCATTAATGCTTCTATTTTAACATCTAGATCTTTGATTTATTTTGATTTTGGTTTAGTTCATGGTGAGAGATACTCTTGCTAGATTCAATCTTTTGTATCTATACACCAATTTTCCCTGGACTATTTACTAACCAGACTATCTTGCCTCTGACATGTGTTTCTGTCCCTTTTGCCAAACAAAGATCTGATGAATGAATGTCCTTGGGGGTTATTTCTACATGTTCCATTCTGTTCCATTATCTACAGGTTCTTGTTGATGTTTGGGTTTTTTGGTTTTTTGCTAGTATCATGCTGTTTTTATCACTATAGCTTTGTAATATAATATAAAATTCAGGTTTATGATACCTCCTGCTTTGCTTTAGTTGCCCAGATATATTTTTGCTGTTCTGGGTCTCTTCCAGTTCAACATGAATTTGGAATTATTTCCTCCAGTCCTGTGAGGAATGCTGTTGGTATTTTGACTGGGACTGCATTAAATAAATACATAAAGTTTTGGAAATGTGGCTAGTTTGACAATATTTGTTCTTCCTTTCCAGGAACAAGAGACTTTTTTTTTTTTTTTCTAATGTCATCGTCAATCTTTTTTTTTTGAAGTACTATAGTTTTTGTTGCACAGAATTTTCACTTCCTTGCTTAGGTTAATTCCTAAGTAGTTCATTTTTCTTGCTGCTACTGAGAATAATATCGTTCACCTAATTGTTTTTTCTCAGTGAGTTCATCATTGGTACACCAAAAGCTGTTGATTTTTGTGTGTTGATTTTGTACCCTGGAACATTACTGAGTTGGGTTATTAATTTGGAGTCTTTTCATGGACTTTTATTGGTCTTCTATATAAAGGATCATATCACTTGCAAATAATGACAGTTAGACTGATTCCCTAAACTTATTTGTTTCATTTCTTTCTTTTGCTAGATTGCTCTGCTTACTGTTTTGAGTACTGTATTGCATAGGACTTGTTACAGTGGATATTCTTGCCTTGTTCCTTATTTTAAAGGAAAAGTTCTCAGGTTTGAGGTTGGCAGTAGGTTTGTATTATATGGCTTTTATTAGATTGGGATAAGATCCTTCTACACTTTTTTCAATCATGAATGTATGTTGGATTTTATCAAAGAGTATTTCTGCATCTGTTGGAATAATTATACAGTTTCTATCCTTGCTTCTTTTTACCTGGTATATTACATTTATTGAATTGTGTATGTGAACTATACTTGCATCCCTTGGATAAAGTCTACTTAGGTATGATGTATCATCTTTCAATGATTTGTTGCATTCTGCTTTCCAGTTTCTTATTAAAGATTTTTGCATCTATGCTTACTGAAGAAATTAACACCTAGATTTTTGTTGTTGTTTTGGTTTGGTTTGGTTTTTTTAGTTGAGTCCTGGTCTAGTTTTGGAATCAATGAAATATCAGGTTCCAGAAAAGAGTTTACCAGTATTCCTACTCTTTCAATTTTGTTAATGAGTTTGAAGAGTATTGACATTAGATCTTTCCTAGAATTCATGTATAGTACAGTGTTGATTCCATTGGATCCTGGCTTTTTCTTATCTTTTTATTACTGCTTCGATTTTATTACATGCTATTAGATTATCCAACCCTTGTCTCAGTTTTTGTAGTTAATACATATTTAGGAATGCATCTATTTATTCTGGATTCTCCAGTATATTGGAGCAGAATTTTTTGAAGTAGTTCCTTATTATCTTCTGTATTTTGGCAGTGTCTGTTGTAATTTTGCATGTTTTAGTTCCTAATAGTATCGATGTCTTTTCTTTCTTTTTTTTCTTCCTGGTAAGACTGGCAAAGGGTTAGTCTCATTCTTTTGAAGAACCAAGTCTTCAATTCATTCACTGTGTTTTGTTTTTAGTTTTAATTTCATT